CTTCTCATAGCTATTTTGACCCCAGGGACATTCCGAGGGGAATAAAAAACAATCACTGATACTTTGAGCTTTAACAAGGATCATGTGTTATGCACCAACGGAATGATTCTGCCCAAGCCAGGTCTCCTTTCTGGGGTGGGGTTCAGCTGAGGTACAGTGAAGACAGAGCGTAAGAGGCAGGAGGTCTGTGGTTTCTCATCTCAGTAAATCACTGCAAGCAGCTCCTGTCCGAATAGGCTCTTCCTTTCTGTATCTTCCTCTCCGGCCCGTCCACACCCAACTGCCTCCACCACATCTCCACATCTTCCTTTATCAAGCTCAGCAAGATAGCACTGTTCCCAAGCGGGAGCAGGAACACTCTGGAGTATTCCTTGGGCTCCTGACTTACCTTAGGATATGAAGATTGGACATTAAAAGGGGGAAATGTTCCTCTTAAACCCATTTCACGATCACAAGGTGAATGAATGCCATCAAGTCTACATAAAAGTCTGACCCATGGATGTGATGTGTGTGACTAGCTCTAAATTTATGAGAACTGACCGCGCGCGCGCGTGTGCGCGCGCGCACGCGCGCACACACACACACACACACACACGAACACACACTGAAATGCAGCAAAGGAGTTACTTCCCCAAATGAAACAAGTTCTTCCCTACTGCTCAGAAATTGCCATGAGGCTTAAAATGTGTAGGCTTTTCCTCACCTGATTAATAGATACAAAAGACAGGTGTTTATGGGCAGCAGGTATAGCAGGAGAATAAGTAGAAGCATATACAGGTTCCTATAGAGCAAAGCAAGAGGATTAGAGGTGAAAAGAGAAGGTTTATCAGAGCTGGGAGGGGAGGAGTAGAGATAAAAACAAGATTTCTCGACCAGGATGTTAATTTACTCATTGCAATTTCAGTTCTCTTTTCAAGAGAGTCCTTCCTATTTTGTTTGTTTTCTTAGAGAGCTAACTAAAATCCACACAAGCGCAGTAAATATGCCCAAGTCAGTTCTGTGCAGTGATTGCATGAGGTAATGACAAGATAAGTGCAATTTCTTTGATATTCCGTTACTGAGAAGGAACCGTGACTTTCATCGACAGTTTTAGCATTTAACATAAAATCTCTTAAAGTCTTTAAAGTTTGTCATTTTACGATTTAAAAAAATTAAAGAAACAGGAAAGCTCCCTTCTCTGGATAGAGGTGGCATCTTGTCCAGGGGTAAGGAACCAAACAGCGAGGGCTTAAAAGGGAAACAGGGAAACACCAGTGATGAAGATTACACACGGCGAGGTCGAACTGTGGCTATAATCTAGAGGACACCTATGTTAGAGTCAGGCTTACCCAAAGCAGATTAGAAATGGCACTATCATCTGCAAATCCTCCTTCTTCCTACAGGTTAAAACAAATAGGAAACATTGCAGAGTGCTGCAGAACACAGTTGGGTTAGGGTGTCACAGTCATTTTCAAGGATTTAGTGCCTGGGCTCAATCGGATGCATGCACATGCTCATCACACAGTCGGGTGGTACAAACACCAGGTAAACTCATATCCCATCAGTGGGATCATAATCTTTCATTTGGAGGTCATACCATCAGCCTTTCTCCCCCTCCTCCCCTAGCTCTTTGAGTGGACTTCTTTCTCCTGAATTGTGATTTGGAATTTGATTGTCAGCAGATAATTAGAACGTGAATGTGGCAGATTTACCTTTGTTGAATTTTCAAGAACATGCTCTGCGGACATCATAGATCTTAGCTTGATTCACTGATCTGATACTACTGAGCATAGCTGGATAGCAAATCCACATCTGTGACTCAGACATAGAGCTGGGTTGTAATGGCAAACTCTATAAAGGGATTTTATTTCCTGGAAAAAGTCTGATATACTGGATGATTATCTTAAAACTGTAATGAGTCACGACATGCCTTGATGTCAAACCTGCCAAAACGAGGTTGAAATTTAAAATAATTACTTGGTAGAAATAAATAAATGCAATTGAGTTGTAACAAAGAGACTCCCGCTTTGAAAACTTTGCTTCATTTTTCTTGCTCTTTGGATGGAATGAGTTAGCCTGGAGGGAACGGTCTACAGATCATGCTCAAGTGCACACATTCCAGACAGTGTGGACTTGGCCAAATCTACAAACCACATGGCTTTCCCATCTTCAGAACTAATTATATATGCTACAAAAGCAAAAATGCTGAAGTCAGGTTAGCCCTTCCCTGGACTAAACCAAGAACAGGAGAAAGAAGAGAGAAGAGAAGAAGAGTGGCAAGGGGAAAGGAAGGGAGAGAGAGAGGAGAGAGGAAGAACCCAGACCGCTTACGGGAAATGGCAGAGCCAGCTACATAAATGGTTTGCACTCGGAAGCTCCAAATCATTCATCCCTATTTGGTGGTGGCAGGCGGCGGGGGGAGGACGGGGATACATTTGGAAAACAGGGAACCACTGTTAAGTGAGGTATTCTCTGAGACATGGCTAGTCTTTTTGTAGGGAAGGAGAAGCTCTAACTTAGTTCCCCAAATCTATTCACGGGTCAAGAGGTATTTTCTTCCCAGGGAGGATCCAGAATGATGTGCTGGTTAGAGCACCACAAATTTGTTTTGTTTGGGGGCAAACTGACAGAAACAAGACCCTTACAGATTTTTCGAGGCATCCTTTGACATTTGTTTTTAAGGTGGCTACTAGACAATCTAAAAGTACTTATGCCGCTCACATTCCATTTTTATTGGACAGCAAGGATTTTCACAGGGGCCACGGACATGATTTATATAGAGTCCTGTCTCTATTTCCTGCCTCCTCTGCATTTCCCCAGGTTGCAACTCATGGGGCTGCGCTTACAACACACAAAAGCCAGAGGAAGGCAAACTGGGAAATGTTTGGCCACCACTTACGTGCCTTTGATGAATTCACAAACTGCCTGGGAAGTGATGCCCTGACTGCATAACCAGCTCTCTTCTTCTTGTCTTGGTGGAAAACATGGAAGGTTCTAGAGCTTGCTCCCCTTAGCAGAGCTCTCCATCAGCAAGTCTAGATCCAGCCCACGTGGCAAGATCCCATCTGCATGCACCACATGGCATGAATGTCTTTCTCTGGGGCAGCATTCAGACGCCCAGCAAGCAGTGGCGTCTCTCGAGCCCTCAGTGGCTGTCGGGGGACCCTCTGAAGACAGATTAGGTTTAAGGCACCTCACATCTGAGCCCAGCGAAGGTGTGAATGAACTATACTGCCAGCCCTCAGGAAGAAAAGAAGCCAAGGGCTTATCAGGGGCCATGTGAAAACCACTTGACCTCAACAGAACTTGAGATTTCCCAATGTCTGTTACAAAAGCCTAGAATAGATCGGCTTATTTTAACTTCAAAGAGCTTACTGTCTCAGGCTGTGGTGAACTAGGTCACGGAGGAGGAGGAAGAGTGAGTTCACGAAGGCTTCGGCATCTGCAGCATCCAGGAGCCCAGAGACACGTCTGCACACTCGGGCCCTGGGCACGCTTTGGGCCCCGGAGCTTCCGTGGGCCGTGCTCCCCGCCCCCACGGGCAACTACAGTCACCAACTCACCCCTCCTGCCTTCTGAAAAACCTTCGTCAAGTGAGAGGCAGTTCAGATCTGATCCTCTACTCACAGCTCAAATGATCCCCCCCGCCCCGTCTTCTAAGCGGTAGGGCGCCTATGCCATTCACTGTTCCCGAGGAACCTAGCCGGCTTTGTGCATGACAGCTGTCTTTACTTTCACCTGGCCATGTGGGACTGTCAGCTCCCATGGCTTCTCTGCATCTTCCAAAACGACTAACAAGAGGTGTTAAAGTTATTGTCGAACCGATGATTTCAAGACCCTTTTAAATAAAGTGTGTGGGCAACAGGGATACATTGAGGGACTCAGGGTTGTTTGTTTTTTCACGTCAAGATCTTGTTCTTGAAATCCAGACTTTGCCCATATGCTTTTAAATATCCAACTCTATTGGAGAACCTTACAAATCGCTGAAATTAAATGTGTTTGGTCATTATCTTTAATATCCTCTATGTCTCAAAAGAGAAAATTCAAATTGTCCCAATTTAACCTCAGAGGACACACAAGTACCATATCAAATAGCATCGGAGTTCCTCCCTTAGCATCCTACACGGGCACCTCCCTTTCGTGGAAGTTTCTGAATGCATAAAAAGGCCACATTCACAATTCCTCTCTTCCACAGATGCTAAGCTGTTTTAGAACTAAAAGGGGTACAGGTGATCACCCTGAGGAATTGCTGGGCTTTTTTCTTCATTTCTGTTTAAAGACTTATGACCCTAGAAGATGGCCAGTGGACGTGTGACCTTGTTCCCAGCCAGCACACGCATTTGCAAGCCTAGGGCCAAGCAACGGGAAATTCACCATCAGCTTTGAGAATGTGCACTGACTGGTCCAAAGCTGGTCATCATTACACTAGTAATTTAACAACTCGTCAGGACTTTTACAGAGGAAATGCTTGCCAGTATCAATAACAATGTATTACTAGATTTTATTTCAATATGTAACATATTTTGCTGTACATTCTCAACAAAAGGCATGCCTGCTCATTGTAAAACACGCTCACAATCACGAAAATAAGTACTCACTGACCACACGCATGTCCTTGTTTTGTGTTTCGGTTTTAAATCTCTGCATAGGACATTCAAGTCCACATTCTATATGCATCTTATAAACTGCTTGTGGTCAATTGAAGATTTTCACTATAAACGTTTTAATAACACTGTAATGTCAGACTTCATTTTGGAAGGTTTTAAACCAAAGCACACACTTCAAAATGTAGGAACTTGCTTGCGTGACGCATTATGTAAGCAGTGCTGCTAACACTTTGATAGCATCTCAAGACCCTACCTTTTGATCGGTTTTGGCCGCTGTGAGACCGATGTGCAGTGTGTACGCAAGGCAAGACAGTGCTTCACAGAGTGGGCGTTAGTTAGGGCATGCTTGCCTACCTGATGCACTTCCAAGCATGATGTTAGTGGAATGCTTTTTCCTAACACGGAAAACATTACCTTCTTCTTGAGGGATTGTTCCGCTTCTTGTATGTGCAGGCTGCCGGTGACAGACGCCTTGCCATACTCCTGCTTTCTGATAAGTCTGTTTTTCCAATCTTCTTCACCACTCTTCTTCAATAGCGCTAATCTGGGGAGGAAAACAGGCCAACCAAAAGGGGTTCAGCACCAAACTCTTACTTGTAACAGAAGCATAGTTTGGGTAAATTAGTCTTTGGCCAAAACATGACCACAGCTACCTAATTTTAATCTTTTTGAGTTTCATTTATTCTGAAGACCATCATGTCTGGAAAATTAATATAAGCATCCCCTTTTCTAAGATGCCCCCTCCCCCAAATCTTAAAGCTGATGCCATGCAAAGCTGAAATCAGACTTGCCAGATAAAGATGCATCATCATTCCACCAGAGGAATAGCTCTGTTTTTTCCCTTGCCCTTGAGCTGAGAACAAGGAGATAAAGGTAAACCATCCCCAGAGAAAAATGTCTTCTAATGACCCCTTCTGGTCACTTCATGAAATAACATTTAATGACTATAGCTGGATGGAAAGTGCTCCTTTGCAGAAAATTTAGCAGAAATGGGTTTAAAACCTTAAAGCTATAAACAAAAAAACAAAAAAACAAAAAAAAAAACTGACAGGGTGTCTGGGTGGCTCAGTTGGTTAAGCGACTGTCTTCGGCTCAGGTCATGATCCTGGAGTCCCAGGATCGAGTCCCACATCGGGCTCCCTGCTCAGCAGGGAGTCTGCTTCTCCCTCTGACCCTCTTCCCTCTCGTGCTATCTCTCATTCTCTCTCTCAAACAAATAAATAAAATCTTTAAAAAAAAAAAACCTGACAATCGCTTAGTATCAGACCTTTCAAGAAAAGGCAAAAGAAGAGGTTTAAGATTTTCATCTCTTTGTACCCTAAGCCCTGTTCTTTTCCTCCGAAGGCACTTGGTCTCTCCAATCTATCTTAATACAGAAACTATTCTCTACAAACCCGTTTTTAAAATGATTACTCCAATTTCCTCCTGGGGAAAGCCACATACAAAAAAAGAATCTAATTAATTGAGATTTTTACCTAACCTACTTTAGCTCAACTCTGGTGTGACTTGATACCAAGCTGCCTGGATGCTACAACCAGTACGACCAGTGAAAGGCTGTTTTCGTGAGCGTGAGGCTGCCCCAGCTTGCTCTCCTATGATGAATGAGGCAGTCTCAGGCACTGAAGTTGGACAAACGTAGGAAAAATAAAAGGAAAAAAAGTGACCACCGCAGTCATTTGAGCTGCTGTTCAAACGATGTAAAGATTGGGCAAAGAGGGACTGGACCCCCTTTCCTCCCTGCCGAGCCTGCTGGGCCAGGTCTTTTGAACACCCTAGCACATGTCCGTAAACGGTATACTGTATCAGTTCCAGCTTGGCCCTGAGCTCTGGTCCAATAGCCTGGCACCCTTTCCTTGTTGGTCATACTGGGCCCTGGACTCAATGGTCTCTTAGGTCCCTTCTACTAATTTTCCTGACTCCGCTAATGAAAGTTTTTCTAAGCAAATAAAAACCCAAACTTTGCAGTACTTAAATAAGTATCTACTTCCATCTACAAATTTATACATAATCATACCTTCACTTGTTTATTCATTCAGTCAAATAATGGAAAGCAAGCAACGAAGAAAAGAACTCCCTCAAAGGGGCAGGAGCTTCACACCCTGGATCTATCCCCTTCTCTTCCGTTTCCCTTTCCTTCCTTTCTACTATGTGACAGCAGATAAGACCTCGCATGACCATTCTATACAATGCCACCTCATTGATCTATGACATTGTGATTTATAATAAGAAATATATACTTGGTTTTCATCACCTTTCCTGGCCTACAGCTGCTAAAACCCTTGGAATTTCCTAAGTGATAAGAATGACAGAGGTGTCTTTTTATTAATCAGGTGACTTTGGGGAAGCACTTAATGATGGGGAGTGGTTGCCAGGAGAACCAAGCCTGTGGTATGTGATTAGAGGGGCGGGACTTTCAGTCCTATCCCCTGACTTCTTGAGAGGAGAGAATGGCTGGTGGTTGAATCAATCACCAATGGCCAAGGACCCAATCAACTTTGCCTATGTAATGAGGTCTCCATAAATACCAACAGGATGGGGCTCAGAGAGCAGGAAGCTCCACACCCTTTCCCCATACCTTACCCTATGCATCTCTTCCATAACACAGCTGTTCCTGTGTTAGATCCTTCTATAATAAGCTTGAGATCTAGGAAGCAAAACATTTGAGTTCTGGAGGATGCTCTAGTAAATCAAACCCAAGGAGGGGGTCACTGGAATCTCCAACCTATAGCCTATAGGGTCAAAAGTCCAGGAGACAATCTGGACCTGCTTCTGGCATCTACTCTGTGTGTGTGTGTCTGTGTGTGTGTGTGTGTGTGTGTGTGTGTGTGTGTATGTGTATGTGTGTTAGGGGGCATTCTTATGGGATGGAGCCCTTAACCTGTGGGTTCTGATGCCATCTCCAAGTTGACAGTGTCAAAATTGGGTTGAATTGCAGGACTCCCAGCTGGTGTCAGAGACATGCTTGGTGGTGGAGGGAAAAAACCCATGTTGGCAATTAGAGTCAGAATCCTAAAACAGGCCCCATTTGGCTAAAGGTTCCATTTAGCCCTACATTCTATGGTCTGTGATGTTTGGCAGTACTCTACATGCTACCAGGGCTAGTTCACATACTTGAAAACAAATTCTCAGTGCCTGCAGGTGTTTTCATCAGACTATATAATGATTTCTCTTTTCTCTAATTATTCTGAGTCAGTTTTATTCTAATAAGAGAAAATAACCTGATAAAATCAAATCGTGAAAAAATAATTAGTATTTGCATAGAGCTTTCAAAGGCTTCAAAGTATCTATAAGTGAGATTTTTAAAAAAGTGAGCATGCCAGTATTTTTACACCCAAATGAACTACTTCCAATGCACCATCTTGTGAGGAGAGACTTTCATCTCCATGATATTCTCCTTGCAAACTGGTCTCAGAGCCAGCTTCTTTCTCTTACTTCACCTTTGACACAGACCAGTAGTTCTTCATCCTGGCCAGCCATCTACCTTTTTAATCAGATTTGATCCCAAGTGAGCTGAGAGAATCTAAAAAGTCAAATTCATCCTCATGAGTAGGGCTTATGGAAAATCCTGTGCTACAGTCTTTGAGAATGTTCTCAAAATAAAGTTCCTGGGTGTGTGGAGCAATGAAAACATAACCCAAATAACCATCTGGTTTCCTTGGTGGCTGCTCTGAGGAATGCCAACCTGACTTAGAAAAAAAACAAATTGTGGAATCTACAATCACTTTATGGTCCACCTCATGCTCTACTGGTCTCGAAGAAACTTGAGATTATTCCCGATGTGACAGACGAGTCACGAGTGCACACACAGGCCAAGGATTTCACTGACCGAGGTCACACTGTATGTCAGGGAGACAGGGAGGTGCAGTCCCTGGGCAGGGGTGCCCTGCCTCCTAGAGCATGGCTTGTCTCTCTACATTAGTGCGTTAGTTGACCAGACACATTTGTGTCCGAATGTTTTAGAAACAGCATAGTGTTCTGGCTTTCTTATAATGTTGTTTTTTCCCCCTGGGATGGCCTTCAAAGAATTCCTCCATTCCAAAAACCTGAAATCTTGCTTCTGGATGTGTTGGCAGGGTCATCATCAGGCACTTCCAAAGACTACAGAGTAAGCAGAATAACATGGAAGAACCGGTGTTTCAACTTAGCCCACATGGTGCTTGGACCCTGCCCTAGCTTACCAAGTGCAAATAGTGGCTAATTTAAAAATAACATGTGCTGATGGGGCGCCTGGGTGGCTTAGTCGTTAAGTGTCTGCCTTCAGCTCAGGTCATGATCCCAGGGTCCTGGGATCAAGCCCCGCATCGGGCTCCCTGCTCCGCGGGGGGCCTGCTTCTCCCTCTCCCACTCCCCGCTTGTGTCCCCTCTCTCGCTGTGTCTCTGTCAAATAAATAAATAAAATCTTTAAAAAAAAATAACATGTGCTGAAACCTAAATGCATTATTCCTGTCCCTTCAGATTTCCTACTCGATGTTCAACAAGCTGGGGAGGGCGGGAGACCTTTCCTAACATGTTCTCTCTTCCTGCGATTCCAGGACCCTCCTGAGTCAAGGAGACCGCTGTGTGCCGGTGGGGGCCGAGGAACAAACGTCTGCTCCTATACACGGCATAAATTACTGCCAATGGAATTCAAACAACTGTCAACGCTTTTAACATCCGCCAAGTCCAAGCGCTATTTGCAGGGCTGTGATGTTGAGAGCCTGGGCATCTGCTTAGTCTGAGGCGGGGAACCCCGTGAGCGGCACTGGGTTAGCCTATTAACCCCAAGGCCTGGCCCAGGGCCACGGCGCTGTGTGCTTCCAAGGCCACCAGGGGAAGTGTCCGCCTCTCCCCCCACGGCCCACACTTTCTCAGCAGGGAACACAGGCCTGACACGGCTGCGTTCAGCCTGGTCTAAGAGGCCAGCCTGATCAGAACGGGTTCTGCAGGCTCACGGCAGTCAGGGCCCGGTGAAATGTGGAACAGGCAAACCACGTGCCCCTAATCTTAAGTATGCTGGTTTTTTTTTTCCTTCCCCCTTTAAAAATGCCCCTGCGTTTCAGAGAATCACTGGCACCACATGGATTTCAGATAGGTTGGACCAGCACTGATCAGTACTCATATCAGATCTTGGTCTTGGCTAGTTTGCAGGCCGCAGGAGTGAGCTCATGTGTCCTTTAAATGAGGACGCACCTAAGATCAGAGAAGGAGGCTGCAAAGGGGAAAGACTCCTCTATCCCTAATTCTTACGTCAATCTGGGGGCCCTCTGGTGGCTGAAATCTTGAGCAAGAGCCTCCAGTCCCTGTGGGGGAAGCATGGACGCAGCCTCTGGCTGGTGGGGAGCAGGGGAGGGTGGGAGGAGGGGGGTGCCAGGGACACAGGGGCCAGAGTGGGCCTCTGCGGGGCAGACCGCTACGGGCTGGCAAGGGCCAAGGGGCGCATTCTTCGCCATTCTGGGAGTTCGATTTCCCAGTGAGCGATTGGCTTTGTTGCCTTTGTTTTAGGGATCTTCTCCTGAATAGGAAAGCACAGACACAGTTGCTTCGGTCACTGTGGATAAGATTTCTGATAGCCTAGTATCCTTTAAAAGAGCTTTCAAAGGTCTTACCCCTAAAGAACACACAATTCATTGAACTTACAATATTTTTCAAAGAAGTACCCAAACAGGGGCAATTTAAACCCAAATCATTTAGGCAGTTATGAAACAGTTGATTTTACTAATCCAGTGGAAAAAGCCAATGGAAGCCTAAGTGTTGTGCTAGTTATAGTTCAAACTTGACATTCTGGATGTCAGCAAAGAGGAAGAAAGAAAAGGAGCCTTTAGGGATGTTTCCTTGAACCTCCGGCCTACCCTAAAAGAGGAGCATACTGAGGATTTCCTGTAATTTTTTAGGTGTTACACACTTCTAAGTCCCAGTTAACAAGTACAAAACGGGGATAGCATTGCCTCCCTGTAAGGGCTGCCTTCAGCACTAAATCCGTGAGAAATTCCAAGGGCGGGAGATGACCCCCCTGGCTCCCCTCAGGATGGAGGACTCAACACGCCCACCTCCAGAGCAGAAAAGAGATGTGGGTGCATGAGGCTGAGGAAGCGAGAGCTGAAGTTTTCTAGAGAAGATGAAGGAAATCTGCAAAGTCCAGGCTCTACATCTTACTAAGAGTCTGATGTGAACATGGAATTGGAAATAAGCCATGCAAAGAACATGTGAATCGAGAAAATTCATGCAGGACGAGGGCGAATCTTTCTACCACTGCTGCCTTGTTGACATTTCTGTCCTCTGCTCAGTGTCCTAGCTGGGACACAGGTGAGCTGCTAACACACCGGTGTGGGTGAGCAGCAAGCTCACCCCAGCTACCAAGGGGAAGCTGGAGACCAGCACCTGCGGTTGGTCCCATTGTCCTCTGTGGGCCTTAGTGGCCCTTGGAACCAAACCCCTCCTTTGGTAAAACGGGGCAGTCAGAAGAAGTTAAAATAAGGTTTGAAAGTTCTATGTTATATGTCACCTCACGAAAGAAATAGGAAAGCCCAGATAATATATGAAGAGCATTCTTATTTGAAATAGGTCAAGCTTCAGTCTTTCTTTCTAAACAAAAGGGAGGGATCAGAGCCCCACTTCAGGAAAAATGATCACAGATGGACTGTAAAAATACGCAGTTTTGGTTTTTCAGCAAAGGACAAATAAAAATACTATCAAAATAAGGGGGGAAGATCACTGGCGATATAGTTTCTAAGAGAAGTGTCTCTCGTCCTTTATTAGCAGCTATGCTCCTTATAAATTATGCTAATAGATGTCTCTTCCTTCTCATGCAACCGATTATCAGAAGTAGGATCTCTGGGATCAAAGTCTCTCTGGGCCAGGTTTTGGTGGAGAAGGAATTCAAGCCAGCACAGCCCAGGCAGCTTCTCTGATTCAAGACCTCACTCTCATTTAGCTGATGGGGTAACATCAGCCCCTTCATCTAAGCCCCCATCCAGCAGTCTGATCTACTGTGAATTTTAAACAGGCAAAAGTAAGATTCAACAATCTTACTAATTGTTGGTTGAGACAGGGGCCATCTATCTAACCTTTTATGCACCATGCTCAAAAAAACTTGGCTTGAAAGACAGAATGAAGAATTTTGATCGCGGTTTGATATATAGTCTTAGGTAGTGCAAAATGTATCCGGAGACATCAGAGTGACCGCTGCCTGGCAGAGCAAGAAGGCTTCCAAATGGCGGGAGGTGCTAAGGAAGGGTCCAGGTGGGCAGAGTGGATGGTGGGCGTAGCTGAGCTGGTCACACTGGAAAGTACAGAGATCTTTCCACATCTAGTCTTTTTATCGCTACGACATCTTTTGCTGCTTAATTCCATGGTGGCTAAAGGTTAACAAGGAAAATACAACCTGAAATATTTAGCCCCGGCTCCTTGTACCTGTCCCATTTAAACGTTTCCTATCAATACTCCATTTGTTTTTTTTTTTTTTTTTGAATGAAATGAGGTTACAGTGTTACTCGATACTCCAGTGTAATCTCTCATAGCTATTATCTGATACAGAATGTTCGGAAGAGTTCTCCCTCTCACTTTCTGTAGGATAAACTAAACTTAGATTCGAATCCCAAAGATGTCTGTCCCACATATGGGCTTATCTTCATTCCGTCTACATACACTTTACATAGACAAACAGTCACAAAGCTGTGCGTGCATTCAGTCTGAAGCCACGTGTCTGATGGGGGAAGAGCCAAGATCTCTGCTCCCATCATGGGACAGTCCAAGAATTTCATAGGTAAAAAAGAAAACGGAACCCCAAACAAACGAAACAAGCACAAGTCTGCGTCTGCTTGCACCCACGTCTGAGGCTGAAACTGGCACTCCCCCAGCGTCACCACCCCCTGTGTGCTCACAACGTCATCTCTGCCCATTACTCACAGCTTTTTCTATGAGCAGCTTGCAAGCTCCATCCCCAACAGAATTACTCTGCAATCATTTGATCGTGTTACCTTTCTTTAATGGACATGGTTTTGCTGGCTGAATCAAGGATGCCCTCCACCGCAGGCATTTTGATGTCTCCGGCAGCGAACATTGCACACGGATTCCTGGAGTACTTCTCCTCCCCCGGTTCTGCAGGATCATGCTGCCTCCAGGACATGGGGGCTGCAGTCGGGGCCACAGTCTTCCCGGCAGCTGTGCCCGTCTGCTCAGAAGAGGGCTCCCCGAACTCTGCCGCTGGGAAGGAGAAAAGCCACGTCAGCATTCCCTCCTCCAGGCAGACATTCCTCCAGCTATTCACCCCCAGCGGTCCTGCACATGGAGTGCAATCCGGGGTGTGTGTGGGGGGGTCACCCAATCCATATGGATTCATGCCAATCTGTAGCACGCTATAACTCTGCAAGGAAACCCATCTGCCCAGGAGGTTACTGCACAGAGCAGATGGTTTTGTGACAACTGGTCTTTTCCTGCGTGCAAGACACAGGAAGGGAGCTTTCACTACACACTACAAAATGTTTCTCCTCCTCCCGAACAATCCTTTTTACATTTCAAATGGCTGGAATCACACACTAAAACCACCACGGTAAGTTACACGTGATCATTTTGTATAAATGCAGAAAGAGAATGAAAGCCCCAAGCAGTATAGCTTACTAGTCTGCATACCAGGACTGCGGAAGGAGTCTGGAAATCCGGAGTCCTGGGTTCAAGTCCTCATCCCCTGTGCTTACTCAGCTCTTTGGGGTCACCAACTCATAAGAGGGGCTGACGGGGCTAGCAGCTCACAAGATCCTTATGTGAGTTAATGTGCCCAAAGTCATCAAGAATCCTTGTCAGGATGTGTGAGAGAGCTCCAGTTATTTTTATTGTTGAAAAACTGATTAATCCACTGAACAGGTCAGATTCAAGGGGAAGAGTAGGATTCACCCGTGATTTGTAATCGATACGAGTTATAAACTGTCCTCCTACTTTAATTAAAAATAATCACAGACACACACAACCAATCAAGCAGACACCAAAAACCCAGGTGGTTTTTGGAGCAGTAACCTACCTCTTAGCGAAAACTTCCTTCTTGGGACATTCTCCATGTCGACCTTCTCTTCAAAGGGCTGCCTGTCCTTCAAGTCTGGGCTCCCCTGTGCGATGCTTTTACCCATGGAGAATTCCTTCAGTTCATCACCAAGGTGGGCGATGGGAGGATGGGCTAGTTCCAGGCTGCCCTTCCTTGGAACAGTGTATTTGGGTTCCTTAAGGCTGTCTCCTTCCCGGATTCTGTTAAAGGTAGGGCAGGATGGCTCTGCTTCCTCAAAGGACCCGTACTTTTTACCACCATCTCCACCTGTCAGGACTCTTTTGCTTTCTGTCTCTGCAAACTCTCTCAACATTCCTCTGCTCCCACTACTCTCTGCTGAAGGCTGCCAGGCTTGGGACTTCAGGATGCTTCTAACCGGAGAATCTGAATTTTCGATCGAAGAAGGAAACTTATAGTCAACGGCACTCATGTTGTCGTCCACAGACCGCTTTGTCCGAAGATCCCCTGCGTACATTGGCATGACCGTAGATGTCATGGTGGACACAGATGTGTTAACAGTAGGTGAAAAAGGTATGAGCTTTCCACTTTGCACCTGGGAGGACACAGTTAAAGTACAAAAAGCTGACTCAAAAATACCATCTACATGAATCTCAGTTTAGGGAATGACATAGAATGAACTATTACATTTGATGCGGTTTCACTGCTTATCTTAGAGGGAAGACGTATTTTATATAATGCATCTCACTAATCAAAATCATCTGGGTGAAAAGCAGATTGTGCAGCCTATTTTTCTCTCCATAAAGGACTCATTCCAGATGATTTCAGCAAGCAAATTATGAAAATAAGAAAAGAAAAAGGTACTTGGCATGGCTATATTTCTTAGGAAAGAAGTTATTACCAAATTCCCGACAGGTAACACAGTTTATCACCTTAATTCTATCTAGGAGCCAACACCGTGGTCCTCTATTTTAAGCACCTACCCGCAACCTGGATGAGTTCACAGCCTACCCACCTGTTCCACCTCTCCAAGTGTGACGGGCTGAGTTTGATAGCGAGCATTCATTCTCCTCTGTCTCATGTCTATTCTGTTTCGGGTAGAAATAGCTTTTGAGACTGGCTGGGACAATTTGTTAAACAAGGCCAACTTCTCTGCTAAGCTCAGAGTGGAGGAGTCAGGTTCACCTTGTTCAGCAGAATCTTTACCCTCATTTGCCGGGTCTCTGGCTAAAGCTTTGTGGTGAGCAGATGCCTGTAATCTGAAAGGGATAAAAAAAAAACAAAAAAAACAGTGACACAGATAAACACAAACAAAAGCCCGCTGCTAAATTTTGAATATTAACTCTCTTCCAAGCATCACTTAATTTTGAAAAGGACTGGTTTCTCCCTACAGAAATTTAAGACAGGTATAGGCACTGTTTAGCTATTAACAAGCCTGTGAGTAGCAGGGGAGGGTGGGGACACTGGCATTACTAATTTCACAAAGAGCAGAACTTTATCTCTGAATTATTTCTAAAAAGTGAATTTCTTCTTGAAGGAACTGAAGTCAGCTTGGATATACCTTATCTTAGAGAGACACTGTTTCAGTGGTATCAACAACAAATCAGGCCTAGGGACTCCCAAGACATTATCTATGGCATGTCTAGATGTTATCTAAATATGTGGTTCAGGGGCACCTAGGTGGCTCAGTCGGTGGAGCATCTGACTCTTGGTTTCGGCTCAGGTCATGATCTCAGGGTCGTGAGATCGACCCCCCTCTCCCCGCCATCAGGATCTGCACTCAGCACAGAGTCTGCTTGAGATTCTCTTTCTCTCTCTCCCTCTGCCTCCATCACCCACTCCCATCCTCTCTCCCTCACAAATAAATCAATCTTTAAAAAAAATAAACATGTAGTTCCGAGGTATTCTTTTCATTTTATAGAACTAGGAAATAATATAGTCATTCTGTCAACAACATATCTGTAATGAGTTTGGATTTTCACTTGCTAAACACAAATGGATCGATTTTAAAGATTCCTTCCCTTCTTCAGTGCAGCATTTTCTCTCAGAGCTTTCTACCAGTTTTCTAAAAGGTACTTAGACCTGTAACTCCCAGCACCTTGAAAAGTGAAGAACATTTCAGGTGCTATTAAATCCTTCCAGATTCCAGGTGTAGGAGAAGGCCTCCTGTTACCTGGTCACGGTGGATCTTGGAAGGTTTATGACAACGTGGGTTGAGGCCACTGGCAAATCCAGTTCCCAAACCCAGCGGACAGTATATTCTGTCTTAATTCTAAGTAATCACCAATTCACAAGTTGCCCCAGACTAAAGAGCATTGTCAGCGTTCCAGGGCATCATGAAGATAGTAACAAAGGCAACCTGATTCTCATGTGTTTCCGAGGTATAGTGTGGAGAGAGGAGAGTAACGGCCACCTACTTTCCTGGACAGACCCCAGCTTCTGGGTGGGGCCAGGTCTATTTCTGCACTGCCGTTTGACTTCTTTTAAATCTTATTTTTGGCCCTTGTGTTTTGGCCCCTCGCGGTGAAACAGGGGATACCTACGTGCCGTAAGGCCATACTTTCAAAACACCACAATTCAAAGCTTAATAGTAAAACAGCTAAGTTCAGACACCATAAACGATTATTGTCTCAATCCCAAAAAGTCATGGCCTTGTCTCTCTATATGTTAGAAACAGATAAGTTTGTTTCTAGCATGTATTTATGACTACAAGTGCTTACAGAAACTGGGGTATTACTGGGATTTCAACATTCATGTTGATTCCTCATTTTCCTATTAATCTTTATTAAGTGCTAGTCATTTAGATGGAGGATGAAATTTCTTAGAGATGACCGTGATTATGAAAAACAGAAACAAAACAAATGACGAGTGAGTTAGTGTGATCCTAGTTCCAAAACATGATGTAAGCAGGGAGATGAAAGCTTTCCTCATGCAGGCCTACATGAAGTTAGCAGTGTCTCACACTACAACAAAACAAAATGGCACCCATCCCCACAGCAACTCATTGCACTGACTCGTTTCTCAAACACATGAAAGGCATTCAAGATTATGAGATGCATCTGCTATCTAGGACCTTTGCCCTGAGGGCCACATGCAGCTACTGTCCAGTACCTGGCAGGCTGTATAGTGCTCTTAGCTACACTGGGACTAGGAAGTCTTGCCATTACAGGCTGGGAGGCCACAGAGCACGAAGCAGGGATAGGTTCACTTTAAAAACAATTGCCAAGGAAGGAACATTCATGAGGAGAGAGAAGAAAAGAAGCATTAAAGGAAAACATAGTTTTAATTCAGAAACAGTAAATAAATATTTTAACAAAATTATTTACTAAGTATTCTGGGGGAAATTACAAAAGAACCTGAAAAGCAATTACAAACTTAGGAAATAAGAGACACAGGCAACGCAAGGTGAATGGAATAAGATTAGGTTTTTAAAGCTTGGAAAGGATTTACCCTGACTTCAGAATAAAGGTCCTGATTTTTAAAAATAACTTAAGAAAAAGCTAATATCAACCACCAGAAAATCAGTAGATTACGCTCATGTTTTAGAATGTAGTTCTCAATCTATTTTGTAAAAAAATCAGTATCCTCATATAACCTACACGCACATCAAAGTAGCTTCAGGGAGCCGTACAAGGTGAGAATTTTTGTTTATATTTATTGTTTTGCTCCCATGAGTAGTTGCTTCTTGGTATACAACAGCCCCTCAAACATTAAAAAACCAAAAGAGCCGACCTGCTCAGAGTTCCTAATGAACCTAAGAAGTGCTCCTCCACAAATACACCACGAAGCTGACCAATAGCTGGGTTAGAAAGTGAGGGAGTTGCTTGAACAGCAGGCCCACAGGTGTGGGCTGCGACACAGACACCTCCTGGGGTGTCCATGCCCTGAATGAGATGAACATGCTTTCTCCGGGAAGACCGTGGGTGTGTTGGGGGAAGCACCGAAACAATTGTTAAAAACCCAGTAAAAGTCTTCACTTGATTGAAGCAATTATCTTTGAGTGAATTACTTTGGGAAATTCATTCTGAAGATACTGGAACAGACTGCTCAAGTACGGAATGTCATCAAATTTCCAAGGAACTTTTTAAGTTGTTTGGTGATTATTTAAAAACAAATTCAAGGGGCGCCTGGGTGGCTCAGTTGGTTAAGCGACTGCCTTCGGCTCAGGTCATGATCCTGGAGTCCCGGGATCGAGTCCCACGTTGGGCTTCCTGCTCGGCAGGGAGTCTGCTTCTCCCTCTGACCCTCTTCCCTCTCGTGCTCTCTATCTCTCATTCTCTCTCTCTCAAATAAATAAATAAAATCTTTAAAAAAAAAAAACAAATTCAAAGAAAACAAAACAAAACCCTCAAACCCCTTATCTTTTTTGAGATATCTGTTGAAATATTTATGGAAGAAATGATATCCGGGGTTCGCCTGAAAACAAAGCAGGAGGAAAGGAAGTGGATGGGGTGTGGGAAGAGCAAGACCGGCCAGGCTGCTGACCGTTGAAACTGGGTGGTCAGTACACGGGGGCTCATTATATTAATCTCATGGTTTACACTTTCCATTGTAAAAAAGATTAAGAAAGGCACAGACCAAAAAAATTAAAATTCCTCTTGAGGTTTTTCTAGGAGATACAACAGCAAAACACCCTGTTACAAAGTTCAGAGAGACCACAGTAAGGAAAATCCCAAAGTACGAACGTCTCTGTGGCGTCTAACCAAACCATGTTCTGATCGCTTCATTTTTACTTAAAAGGCTTTAACTCCTTTTTTTTTTTTTCCACGAAGACATTTCAGCCGAGGCCATGAGGTCACAAGGGGGGACTTACGTGGCTGCAATGGCCACTTCCTCAGTGGTAACGGGCTGCGTGTGGGATCTGTCCTGTAGCCGCCGTAGTCTTTGTTCCACGGCAGCATTTCTGGAGCGTTGCTTTGGAGCGTTCTTCTCATCAAATGATTTTTCCATTTCCTAGGATCAGAAACAATGCGGAATCCTTATACGTTTGAGGAAAGGACACTGGGGCCGCAGAGTCTCTGCTCTGTTCCCCTAACAGGGCTCCTGGGAGGGATTCCCCGTGAGGTTCACATCATTCTCAGAAGTGTGCACCTGTGTGGTGTCAGCAGGGGTCACACCAGCCCGGGGCTCATACAGAAGCATGTGGGCTGGGGCAAGGGGGGCCGGAGGGGCCCCATGCAGGGAGCAGGGGGACGGTTTCGCTTCAAGCACTTCGGCACACCTTACCCTGAAAAGCAGCCTCTTGGCAGCGACACTCAGCTTGGCTCGTTCGTCTACCTTTTCTTCATCTGTAAAAGGCCACAAAATAAAAACTGAACATCATTAGAAAAATGTAGGTGAAGTCTCTGAAAAGTTTCCCAAGGCTGCCCTGGAAATCCTTTGAACATACGAATGGATGTACCAAAAATTACAATTGGCAATATTTTCCCCTTGGAGGGATCCCATTCTTCTGCTCAGTGAAAAGGTGCTAATTTCCATTGCAACTAACCAGACAAAACTCTGTCTGGACAGGAATTTTCTATGATGATATTTGAACAATTGAAGTTTAAGAATAGATTTTATGCAAGGAATTTCTCTTCTTTATTGTTACATAGTAACAATAAATTAACAAAAAGCTGCTGCTTTAGCCAATCAGTTGTTTTAATATTATTCATTCCACAGTTCTAACTCTCTCAAAAATAGGGAAAAGCTCACCCGAGAATCTCAACTAGGTTTTATTAGACTCACAGAAAAAAAAAAAAAAAAAAACCTGCAGAAAAGAAATCGGTATGCTCCATAATGTCATCCTCTCAAAGAGCAAAATCTTCAGGAAACCTAATCTGGGTGAGATGACAGAGAAGCGGCAAAAGGAAAACAGATACTTGCCCTCAGCAGTTGGCATTTCTGAATTCGAAGCAGACCTAGGAAAGACATTAGGCAAATAATAATAACAAAAAATTAGCCGGTGGGAATAGAAGATCTAAATAAAACATCAGATTAAAAGTTAAAGTAAAAACAAAAGTAAAAATTCAATTGACATCTTTTAAAGAATATCATCCTGCTAGCAATTCTTGTTGTGAATACACAGGTACAGGTGTTAATGGACACGGTGGAGTGCGCGGGCACACAACCCAGCCAGGTGCACACCTCGTGGAGACAAACCAGAACTGAGTGTGACTTATTAAACACAACTGGTCACTTTGTAGACAAACCTCATCATCTCTATGCATAAGCATAGGATCGTGTAAAACTCAGATATGACAAGTAGACAGACATTTATAAAACGAATATAAAATCCCTAGTTCTTTGCACTGGAAAATCTGGTGACTACTCACTGTGGATTCTAATTTAATGAGGGCATAAGAAATGCAAAGGAGCAAATGAAGAAAAATAATGTGTCTCACTTCTTACCATCTGAATGCAATGTAAAACTGTATCGTGATCCTGTTGTCACGGGCAGTGTTCTTTAAAAATACATGTATACAAGCCACATAAGTATCTCTTATAGATTAGATGGAAGAATGATGAAATCACCACATCCCATTTAAACAGCGCCAGGACCATCACTATGGGAAAATCCTGTACGACTGCTTTTACGTTCCTAGACTACAGAACTACACATCACGCATGCCTACCTATCCGAATCCTTTCGTTCTGCTGAGGTTATAGGTTGAGTTCTAAATCTCTCGGAAGTTTTCCTACTTTCACCGGGAGAAAAATAGCGTCTTGGTTTCCGGGACCCTCTTTCCCGTTCCACACCAGTAGGCAAGCCAACGCCTTTGGTTGACCTCTCCACCCGGGATTGGCTTTTAGAATCATCGGGAGGGAGTGTACAGAAGGGAGAGGAGAGACAGAGAGAGAGAATAAAGCAAAGGTTTATGCATCTCAGTGAGGCAAGGCCCAGACACCGCCAAGTCCCGCTGCATGCCCCGACCATGCGCTTATAGGAGGTGGAGCATTCCAGCGACCCAGTACTGTAACTCCCCATTAGTAGGCAGAAGCAGAATGGTAGTTTTTGAGCCATTTTCTGTGCGGTCTGCCCTGCACACTGGTGAGCTAAGCTAACATGACTCAATGCAGGACACACCACAAGTTGAGAAGTGAATAATTCTGCCAAGGACGTGCAAGTGACACATCAGGAGGATGTTTGAAACATCACCTACAGTTCGGATTTCTTGTTGGCATTGACAGACTCCAGAAATGCATTTCGGAGCTGGGCGACAGAGACCTTCGTGTCCAGCATGCTGACGTCCGGGGGGGCCCCTTCAGCTTTGGAACTCTGCAGCTCTGGTTCTTGCCTGGACGTGGGGGCCTTACACTTCAGGGCCTGCAGCTGAGGGGGGCCCGTGTAGTCAGACAGGGAGCGGGTGAGGACCTTGCGTTTCTTCGTCAGGACTTCCTTTCTGTGGCCTGTCGCCCTGGCATCTTGGGACACGGGCTGGCTCTGAACATATAAAACCACTTCTTGTCTGCTGATCCTCTCAGTGGGTTGTTGCTGAGCTGGAGGCGGGGGCGACAGACTCTCTGGTTCCTTCTGATGTTCTGAGGTGATTGTGCTCACAGCAGGCTTGCTGAAGTCTTCGTTTCCAGAGGGATCTTCGTGGCTTCTCGTAGGCCCGTGATCCTCCAAAGCCAAAAGTGATTTCCTGCTTTTCTCGAGAGCTTCAGTGAAGAGCGTAGCTTCCTCTGCTTTCGATTCACAAATATGGAGAACTGGGGTATCCCTTCTCTCACTTTCTAGAACCTTCAAGGTGGGAGGCTTTCTGACATGCTGGGTGGCTGACCCCCCCCAGCTGCATTCAGATAAATTTTCTGGGATCTCTGAGGTCACCAGCGTGGCCGTGTGAATGGGGTCTGCCGATTGGACATAGCCTCGGATTGGCTGTCCCGTGGAGCTGGCTGCCTTGCTCGAGACCCTATCGAAGGCCGAATTTTCTGACTGAAAGGATGAGCAATGGACGGGCACTGGCTGATGTCTCCTCTGAGTGAAGGGCTCGGAGGCCACCTCAGGGCTGCTTCGAGCACTCTCCTCTTTCACCATTTTTTCTCTAACCTTAACTCTTTAAGAAAGAAAAAGGATTTAAGTTGCAAAGTGCAGTAACTGCTTCACGGGGAGAAAGCATGCGTGGACCATAGATTACCCGTGAATGGAAATCCACCCAAAGGCAGAACCACTGGTGACAGTGCATTTCTGGTGGTTAATGTCAGAAACCCACTGCCTGCGGATGAACGATTTTGAGTCTCCAAATGTGCGTAGAGACGCCAGTGTGGTGCCAAACTCACTCCACCCTCCATAAAGCTGAGATGGCTCAGATGCCATCCTGGGTGAGAATGGATGCCTTCTGACTAAATGAATGACCAGAAGTCATGGGAAAATCCATTAATATACAAAAACAGCATGCATGAGGGCACACCAAGGCTGTTGGTGGGAATCCGTAAACCCTCCACCCATACAGGCCTTGCGTGTGGGCTCTGGGGGGAGTTTCCAGGTATACACACACCTATTGACCAAATGTAATTTCACTGTCTCCTGGAAATGTAAGAACATGGTGATTTTTTAATTTTTTTAATTGAGCTCAAGATACAGCAAACAATCACCCCTTTCAAGCACTCAACTAAACATTCCCAAGCTTTTTCATGCAATGCAGAATGTATTCATTCATTCCTAAAACACGTGACCAGTTTGGACATCATTACTACTAACCATTGTCACACCAAGAAGACTGTAGAGAAAAGATATTTGTTGAAAGAACTAACAGACTAAACGTTTTCTCCCCTTTGGAATTACTGTTGGGCCCTTAGTTAAAAACTCATGTGAAAAGAGATTGCTCTCGTTTTTAGAGCTATTTAAATATCTGAGAGCAAAACTGAAATCCAGTTTAAAAGCTACAGCCCTTTTTCTATCACTGCAGAAGCAAAGTAGCCAAGAGCTCTGGCCAGGGGCACCTCAGAGACCTGGGTTCAAACCTAGCTCACCCAGTTCTATCTGTGTGGTCTCAGGCAACTTACCTGGCTCAGTTGCCTTGTTTTTAAATGGAAATTGTAGTGACAAAATGTAATGTGATGTTGGCAAAGCACTTGGGTGGCTTAGTACTAAGTACTCTTAGCAGAGAGTAACCATTTAATAGTGTTAGCTGGTACTTATCTTTGCTTTCTGAAATGCCACATAGTGAGAAAGGAGAAACCATTGAAGCTGTTCAAGAATGGATTACTAATTGGCAATAATCCTTAAAAGGTAAAACACGTTTTTGGAGTGGGAAAAGTGATTTCTTAGGGGAATATAAACCTTCATGTACTGAAGATTAGTTAGCAAAAATAATTATTTATGACAGTTTTGGAAGAGAATAATTCCTTAAATGACATGCACCCTGCTAAATTTGATGTAAACTCCTACGTGTTTTTCAACATCAGATACAGGATATCTATGTATATTTCGTTAACAAAAAAATCAAAGACACACATAAAAGGCAGTTACCATGAACAATTCAGGAGGAAAAAAAAAAAAGCATTCTGAGTTGTTATTTTTTCCCAGAGACTAGCCAGTGTTGGAGGTTTTCATATTTATAAGCTTTGTTAATCAAAAGAAGACTGAAATGTGGTTCAAGTTCTCCTGTGGAATGTGTCCTTCTAATCAGAGACAATCTGAATGTTGTCCTCAGCTGAGAACAAAGTGACTATTAGAAACTCAGTATATGGGTGCTTTGTCCTACCAGAGACTTAGTCATTCTCACTCCTTCCGCCTCTCCCTGCCCCCAACCTTAAAAATGAAATGATAGGGGTTTTTTTGTCTGCCTTTAAAACCACATGCCCTAAGTGCAACTGGTGAAAATTAACTATTGGTTTAGGGACAAGGAGAAGGCTGGAAGCGCTGGGCGGAGGGGGTGTAGAACAGATGGGACACTAGCTGGTTAGTTAGTGTGACTCCAGAGGAGAGCAACCAAGAGCCTCCTCACGACTGCCCCCAGTTGACGGTATGCAGGTTGGTTTGAAAGGAGAGAAGCAAGAAGTGTCATCAAAAAGATTTCCAAAGAGAGGAAAAAAGAAGAAGGGGGAATACTATTAGCAGGGATTAGGGCGATTGGAGGAGAAAAGCAAACGTTCTAAAAGTAACTTCCAGCAGCCCCTTGTGAACACATCATTTTCAAATGCACTGCCATTAACAGAGGGCAAGAAGAGAGTTAGCACTTGGTAACGTGTGGGACAGCAAGGCAAGTCAGCAGGGAAGAAGCACTCACTACACATAAGCCAAGAGGTTCAGCTCGGGAGATACCTGGAAGGCCAGTTGATAAGAGAAGGTGTGTCCCCTTCGGAATCTTTCTGGAGAAACCACTCATGTTTGGGTTTCCCGGTACTATTATGTACAAAAGACAAAACTTCAGATGATTTCTATTCGAATGTCAACATATGTACAGACAATTGTAATTTAAAACCCGAAGGCTGGTTTCTGTTAAGTCAAGACTAATCCTGGCTTTTGAAAATGTATAAGCACATTTTGTCATGGGGTTTACACATTTACTTCACGAAACTCCCAAGGATGTGGGGCTCCTTACTAAACTCAAGAGATAGAAATAAATCTATCCAAAGCCACCACATAAAGTGTTTTCCAAGTAATCTGAAAGTATTAGGAGTCTGTTATATTCACACTCGCCCCACATATACCAGACAATTTTCTTGTAAGAAGTTGGATTAAATGTCAACTCATCGTCTATAAGTTTTGTCAAGGGACATGGGTAAATAGCCAAATACAAAGATAGTGTCCATGCAAAACAACACATATCAAATAAAGGAAATCAATAAAAAGAAATTCAATGAGATCATATCTTTAATTGCTCTTATACATTTTCCTTTTACATTTGTCACTGAATAATGCAACCAATGTAACAATGACATAACCAATACTAATTCAGGTCAATTCAATAAATGTTGAGTTCCTACTATGTATGAAAAACTGAACTAGGCTCTGAGAAGTAACAAAGGTGACTCATGCATCACCCCAGCCATTAAAAAACTTACACTATGGCAGGCAAGATAACATAAGATTTACACATTCATTCCTCAACACATGATCAGATATAACACAAAGTTGAATGTGATGAAGGAAATTTATGCCAGGCTGAAGATATTTTAGAACAGGCCAGAAAAACCCTGTGGTAACCACATAAGGCAGGACACAGGGGGAACAAACTACTGATGTGTATCATCTTACGATGCAGACAGAGAATGTTTACCAGCTCCAAACCATACCAACTTATTTGTAGGAGTTTTTCAAATACTATGCTAGAAACACATTTGAGCTCAAAGCAGTTTCCAAAAATAATAATAATTATAATAAAATAATCTTCATTTTCTAAAAATCATTTTAGTTCAAGTTTTAGGTTAAGCTGACAGGAAAGAACCACTCTGTAACCACTACTGTATCTTTTGCTGTGACCACTGAAATCTGTCATATTCTAGGCTTGGGTATCCCCCTGTCTTTCTACACCTGAACCTGTCAGCCCACCTGTAGTGAGCAAAAAATTCAGATGTATGGAAAGCTGTTTTATTTCCAACTATAAAAGGTCTAATTTCTCAACATTCATTTAAACCTAGGAATAGTTAGCCTACCACTTGCAGCTAAGAAAGGAGGCGATTACTCTAGCACGGGATATAGTGGGAGAAGAGGTAGAAGCAGATATATTTGCTACGGAAAACCACCAAGTTAATATAACTAATATGCCTACCTCACAAAATTATTTTAAGACTCAAATGCGTCTTGTATAATAGAATGCTTTATAAACTGTGAAGTGCTACACAACTTTCCAAACATGACTTTTATTGATAAGACTAGAACTTGGTCAGCGCCACAAAATAGATAGATAGATAAATACATACATACAATAAAAATGATCAGGGGCTTGTTTAAGAATATGTTGGGTCAGCATCTGAAAACTGACAATCATACACAGACATGGGAGGCTTGCTGTGCTCCATTTATTCATTACACCACAGGTGCAAAACTAGCCAAAAAACCAAGTAACTACGTACATGGTAGCAAATACTGAATTTTTGACATTTCGTGTACAGTACGTATGAACTTAATGAAAAAGAACTGCAAGTAGTGAAGGCATCATGCCCAGAATGTGGCAAGCCCTTTCAAATGCTCCTCCTGTCCTTCCTTTTTCAGACAATATCCTACTGTATGTCTCTGAGTTACTGCTTTTATATTGTAAAGTGATGAGATACACAGTCTTAATTCAGAAGTCATGTGATTTTAAGGAATGTGGGTCCAGCCTCAATCAGGAGGACGAGTTTTTCTTGAGTAAATTTACATCAGGAGTGTAAACTCCTGCACAGAACAGTTTTTCGCAAAGTAAGGCACTAGGATCCTTGATGTTGGCTGAGGCACTTACTTGGGTGATATTTTCTGCCATCAGAACCAGAAAAGGAGAGGGGATGAGGAGACACCTAATCTGAACTGGACACTTTCTGCTCGCAGGCTGTTCTGGGCACGCCTCACCCACGGACTTGCAGCATGCGCGCACTCCTCCGTCCTTCTTTGTCACCCGTGAGCGGCATCTGCTACAGGCGACCCCTCCCTTCACCTGGTTCAGCAGCCTTCTTGGTCTCCTCCTCCCCCCACCATCTGCACCTCTAGAGCTCAGGGTGCCCCAGATGGGCTCCTCTCCTCCTCCACGGACATTCAATGCCTTGATGTTCCCATCTGGCTTTCACTTCCACACTGACCTTCCCTTCAATTCCGACTCTTGGACTCCACTGGCCACTTGACACTTCCATTTGGATATCTGGTAGACATCTTAAGTATACATGTCCAAAAACTGAACTTTTGATTTCCCTCCAAAGTCAACTTGCACTGGAGCTTTCTCTACTTGGCAAATGGCAACTCCCTCTTCAAGTTGCCCCAGCCAAAAAAATCGAGACTCCCCTTTGATTCCTTGGTTTTTTTACACCCCACATCTAAGTTATCGGCAATTCCACTGGGGACTTTCAAAACCTAACTACTTTCCTCCCCTCTGCTGCTGTCATTCTAGTTCAAGCCACCACCATCTCTCACCCAGATTAC